AACAATTCATTTTTTCACTTCATTTATTCATAAAGACAATTTCGATAAACGAACTCACTAGATTACAATATTTTGAGATATGTCACTTAGATATTATTCAGTGGTGATTGTTATGTAGTTACAGTCCTCGAAAACATTGGTGTTATTTCCCTCTCTTTCTAATTAAAACACACAGAAAGTGACAGCACTAACTCAAACATATTAGACACATGAAGCTTTTTAAAAAAGTTCCCTTATGCTGTCAACAATTATTTTTTTTACTTCTGGCAACATTTACTAATGTCATTCGTTTTTCTGGGGTTATATTTTTAACTTACTTTTAAAATGTAACAATTTTGTTATTTCAAACAGCACAATTACTTTTTTTTAATATATTGAAAATTGTTAAAGAAAATTACAAACACTTACATATAACCTCACAATATCTGTACTCGCAAGGTACATAACATCGTAACCGTAAATTCACACTGCTTAAATATTCGCTAAAAACGTATGATTTTATTTGTAAATATTCAGTGTGAACTGACGGTAACCACCACCTTTAGAACGGTCGCAAGCCTTTGACTAAACTATCGCACAAGTATTGTGCTGTCGATTGTTTTGCAGTCAATCGTTTAGTTGCATCGATTAATGTTCGCTCCATACAAGCTCATAGGAATCAAAGCGAGAAGTTATGCGACAATTTAGTCAAAGTTGCGAGTGCTTTTACTTATAAATATGTATACAAGCTACAATACTCTATTGTAATAAGATCAATGTTATTGGAAGACAAATCGTATGGCATATAATTTTTAGTACAACATTATTTTTAAATTTAATTATAAATGCACCGATATATACGTAAATACTAGGAAACTATTAAGGAAAAAAACTACAGGAGTTCAATACAAAATATTAGGAAAATAGAGTTTTATGCTACACGAAAACGTTTCAGAAATATTAGAAACCTTAAAAAGAACTACTCAATATAGATTCACAGCTTAACAAATGAATGCGGTATAAAAATCATCATCATCTCCTTATCCTACTCCCGTAAGGTCGGCGCAACAGATTTTTGTCCTCCACATAACTCTATCCGTCATCTCAGTCATCACTCCCTTTTTGATCATGTCACCTTTTACACAATCCATCCATCTCTTTCTAGGTCTACCTCTACCGATGTACCTCCACACTCATAACTAACGAATAAACTGAGTATAAGCAAATATTAGTACAAATTTTACTTATACTCAGTTTAATCCCACATTTAATTTTATACCGCGTTAATTTGTAAGGCTGTATATCTGATATCCAAATTATATAGCGAATTATATAGTTAATATTTACAGAAGATGACAAGCGATATCACGAAGTTCTGTATAAATGTATCGAAAAATGTTAGGATCATGTTAATAAAAGCAGAAAATTCATAGTACGAAAATACGTCCAGAAGACGTATTACGGTTTTAAATATTGTCGAAGGCTGTTACGAAAATCTCTACATTTTCGCTAATTAAAATAAACATTATTTTAAATTATAATCTTAAAAGACTTTTATAGTGTGTCTGAATAAGATATATTAGTTTGATAAATGACGCATATGAAGTATCAAATTCAAGTTGTATGAAGGTAAATGCCATACTTAATAGACAGGTATCGTAGTGACGAAACAAACACGCAGCGAA